ACATCCAGTTTACCCTCCCGAATTGGATATGTTAGATTAAAGTACGGAAATTTACGTAGGGCCGAAAAAAAAAAATAAACCCTCTAGGGAACTTGGACGCATTACATTGAAGGGATGAACCCTAAACACGGGAAAGGGCATTGTTTTTAGGGTTGATGCCTCCCGAGTCACATCCCTTTCCGATTGGGTTTTATTTTTGGGTCAGGTAGGGTGCATTATATTTTTCTAAAATATTGGGTGGCTTGTTGTTATATTTAGGGTTGAATCGTCCCGAAATTCATACAGGTCCGCTACAGGTTATATAGATTTTATTCAAGTGCTGTAATTGTTTTAGTGACTGTATCCAGAAAATAACTCGAATAGACTCATACTATATCGCGAAACTGTGTTTCTGTTGGTGATTACACCTGAGAACCCGCTCGGGAATACTTTGAGTATGTATGAAGTTGGCCGACAATCAATTGGCTAAAGCCGAGGCTAGGGCACTGTATGAAAATGTAAATCACGAATTAGCTCGCTCACGACAGGTGTACAGGTGGGAAGAATAACACGTGGCGATTCTTGTTCCTCAGCTTCTGTTTGTTATCTGATTCTCTTTGGGAATTCTGGTTGTTTGTTTTGTTGAGCTGTATTTTCTTATTCACCCTTGCTACTCTCATTCGTTTATTCGCACCCGTTATTGCTACTCAGTATGGACCGTCTGGTGTTTTTATAACCTAGGTCGTTCGTCGCCACTGCCCTACATGTTTTAACAAACTTAAGCACGAAATTTGGCCCCTACCGTCTCCACCCTACTGCTTTTTCGTTCTCTGGGTAGAAGGCGAGCCTCAAGCTCAGTAGCAGTTGCGAAAACAAAACCAGTGGGCATGGGTTTATTTCACGACCTGAAGCACGACTTTTACCCAGCTGTTATTTTTGCGCTTGGGCTGGGTTGCCAGCGGGAGCGCTTCCTACTGCTGGGCATTGCAGGTGTGCGCTTTGCGATTCTATTTTTCTCAATCACCGAGTGTTCCCCAACCAATCCCGCTCACCCTGCTTGTTTCCGAACTGTACATGACGGTTAGGTTAGGAACTGTTTGAGCTTGTTAGGAACTCTGCACAAACAGTTGAATGCTTCCTTAGGGCGCAGTACAATTTCTCGCATTAAGCATTTGTCGCGTTCTTCAGTTCAAGTCGCAATGGCAAGAAAATGTTTGAAACATTTGCACCGTTCTCAACCAGGAGTTAAAATTAGGGTTTCACATCCAAGGCTGCAAGAGAACGCGCCCGGGAGATCACCCCAGCTTCACCATAACCCTTCCACCAAAGTACCCCGCACTCTCACATCACCTTCGTTGCGCCACCTAGTAGTAGACCACCCTCCACCACCGCCCGTCCTTTGTAGTAGCACAGGCCGCCTGTGCTACTACAGCACCAGCAACTAGTAGTAGTAGTAGAACTAGTACTATTTAGCATTAGTAGAAGCCGTAGAAGCCGTTCGTATCGACCCCCAGGGTTTTCCCGTTTGTAGACTCATATACGCGCGCATATGGTGTTTTGTTTTTCTTTTTTTTCCTGTCGATATGCATATTAGTACTCCTACTACATCGTCGCTTTGTAACAATGTTTTTACCGTTGGTTTACTTCGGCGACGTGCAGGTCTCGTCGGAGGTTTTCGGAGCACAGGCGGCGAGCAAAGGCGGCGGCCAAGCGAGTGCGAGCCGCTTCTCGCTGGGCGCCTCGTCGCCTTAGGTTTGCCGTCCCGCGATCTGTGGAGCAGATTAGCGCCCAGCACCAGCGAGTAGTAGCAGCAGTAGAAGCCGTTATTGTCAACCAATGTGCATTTTCCCCCCCGTTTTTTTGTAGGACTGGCTCAGGTGCTGTTTCCTTCCTGCTACTACTACTAACACTATTGTCGCTTGTTAAGATCGTATATATCGACCACGTCGCTCTGCTGTGGGTTGCTGTAGGCGGCGTGCCGGGCACGTCGGCGGTTCCCGGAGCAGAGGAAGTGGGCAAGGCGGTCAGCAGCAAGCGAACCGGGCGCCTCGCCGATTAATACTAGGCTGCCGTTCCCCGCGATTCGCTGAAACGAGCTGCTGACGTGGCTGCTGAGGCACCTCGAGCGTTGACTCAGGCTGCGGGGGAGGCAGCTCGAAAGGCTGGACAGAAGCTGAGTCAACTGCCGGATGGCGTGTTTGACTTGGGTCAACGCACTGGTCAACGCGTCAAAGACAGGCTGGCAGAAGTGGCGGGTCACAAGGCTGGGCAGAAGTTGGGTCAACAGGCGACTTCTGTCTTTGACTTACGTCAACTGCCGGATTCTTTCTTTGACTTGGGTCAACGCACTGGTCAACGCGTCAAGGGAAGGTTGGGGGACTTGGCAGGTGATAAGATAGGGCAAAAGTTGGGACAACTGCCGGATGCAGTCTTTGACTTGGGTCAACGCACTGGTCAACGCGTGAAAGGCAAGCTGGGAGGCTTGGCAGGTGAAACAAGGCTACGGCGCGCAGCCATGCTAGGCGAGGTTGGCCGAGCCTGCCATGGCAAAGGTGGCGCCGTAGCTAGAAGAAAGAAGAGTGTCGCAGCGGAATGAAGCTTAGCCGAGAGCCTAGCTTCAGATTCGTAGATGAGAGATGGTAGGAAGATAGATTCCAAGAAGATAGGATTAGAATGATCCCAGGATGATACAACAAGATTCTGAGACGGAATATTTATGATCCCGCGTCGCTACGCTTTCAGCATGGCATCTTGGCATAGCGCCTTGATGCCATGCCCCGTTGGAATCTAAGGTATGACGGGGATGGGAGAGTGTTCTCGAGGCTAGCAAGTGCAGAGTTCAGATCTAGCTAAGAGATACAAGTTCTCTCCCATTCGGAGATTCCCATGCATGCTAGCATGGCGAATCCCGTTCTGTTACATAATTCCCCTCCCCAAGAAGCATCGTCCCGATGCTTACCCATGCTAACTATCCACAGGCCAAAATCCACATAACATCATCTACAAATACCAAAATTCATAGAGACTCAAATCAGAAAGTATTTACAAGATACGCTAGGTCTTCGCTCTTGCTCTTCACTTGGTCTTCAGTTTTCTTCAAATTTCAGAGGAGAACATCCAGAGGAAAAGCCAGGGGGGTCGGCATATAGCTGCAGCCCATACTACAGCTTTTGCGGTCACATGCAGCCCTTGGTCAATGGTTGTGGACAGTTTCCACTAATCCCATGCTTTCTCAGCTATGGCGCTTTTTACTGAACGGCACAACCCATACCAAGCTGCCTCAACGCTGGTGCCTTCAGCACGTCCAGCAATACCGCCAAATATGCCTAGGAGAGATCCAGAATATGGAAACACTAGCCTTCTAGTCAAGCACCTTGTGGATTCACTAAACAAAAAGTGAAATAAGCTTACTTATGCTCTTTATATATTGCAGAGCAAAGGACTAGGCAGAGGCCTGTGTTTCAAGGGGAAGAGAGGTGAGAAGTCAGATCATGCAAGGAGGAGGAAGTCACAAGCATGCTCATAATTGCTCTTCATCCATGAGCAAATTATAGAGCAGACAATGAACACTCGTTACAAGGGGTTGAAGGGATCAACTTCTCAAGAGTTGAAGCGAGGATTTTCATGGAAAACGAATTCAGGGTTGAAGACCAAGCGGAAGATTTTCAGCAGAAGGATTTTAGGTCATGCAACTGAATTTCGAGCAATTTTTTACCCAACTACACCTTAGGCTTGACAGTTGCATGAAGGGCAAGGTAGTGTAGCAGCAGAGTACCCTTCGAGCAGGGGAGCCATTTCGAAATTCGCCACTGAAATCTCTGCTCCCACAATTTCTGATTGGCTGGAATTTGTCCCTCAGGTTCACGAACCTTGCCACCACCAAAACGAATTCGACTTCAGATTTGGAGCAGGAAGTTCCTCGCCATCCTAGGTGCAGGTAAGTCCTCGTAGTTGCTCCAAGGTAGGATATGTCGAAGCAGTGGTACTAGCTAGCTAAGGACGAAAGTAAGAAGTGGTAGCTAGCTTAGTACGAGAGTAGAAGCGGAGGATCGATAGGCTCGGATACCAGTGAAACAGGGCTACGGCGCGCAGCGACGCACGGCGCGGCTGGCCTGGCCGGCCTAGCGCCTAAGGAGAGGCGCCGTAGCGTAGAAAGAGAAGAGTAATCGCAGCGGAAGAAAGCTAGACAAGAATCTAGCTCCAGATTCGTCGATGAGAGAAGATAGGAAGATAGATTCCAAGAAGATAGGATTAGAATGATCCCAGGATGATACAACAAGATTCTGAGACGGAATATTTATGCTAAAAAGATAGAAGCGCGGCTCGTAAAGAAAGCCCGCGTCGCTACGCTTTCAGCATGGCATCTTGGCATAGCGCCTTGATGCCATGCCCCGTTGGAATCTAAGGTATGACGGGGATGGGAGAGTGTTCTCGAGGCTAGCAAGTGCAGAGTTCAGATCTAGCTAAGAGATACAAGTTCTCTCCCATTCGGAGATTCCCATGCATGCTAGCATGGCGAATCCCGTTCTGTTACAGCAGGTCACAAGGCAGGGGAGCAGTTGGCTCAATTGCCAGATCTTGTCTTTGACTTGGGTCAACGCACTGGACAACGCGTTAAAGGCAGGCTGGCAGAAGCGGCAGGGCACAAGGGTGGACAGAACTCGGTTCAACTGCCGTTTTCTGACCTAAAATTGGGTCAACAGCCGGATTCTGTCTTTGACTTTGGTCGACGTACTGGTCAACGCGTCAGAGGCAGGCTGAGGGATCAGGCTGGTGGGTGGAGGAAGAGACTGAGTCAACGCTTGGTTGACCGATCCAATGCAGTGAGTACAGCTGGAGATGGGTTACAGGACAGGGCAGAAATAGGTGAGGGAGCCTCAACAGGTGTAGCTTCGGCAGGTGTAGCTTCGGCAGGTGTTGGAACAGGTTCAGGTTCAAAGCAGACACGTCAGAAGCGGGTTAGAGTGCGGATTCGAACATCTGTAACAGCATCAAAGGAACAGGGGCAGACACCTTTTGAGATGCCTCAAAATACCATTCTAGCATCAAAAGAACGAGGGCCGACGCTCAAGAAGCACGCACAGGCGCTGAAACAGCAGTCCCAGGCGTTGTTGAAAGAGGCGTTAAGGCGGAGAGCTGAAACACTTGCAGATGCTGCTGCTGCCACTCCTGAAAGAATCCGTGCTTTGAGAAAAGCTGCCACTGCTGCTGTCAGTGTCTCTCTGTTAGCAACCACTGCCGCTGCGGCTGCTGCTGCGGCGGCGGCTGCTGCTGCTCGCGGGGGGTTGGTGGTGAGTTCTGTTGGCGGCAGTGCTGCATTTGCTCGTCAGATTGCTAGGAGAAGGTACGCTGGTGGTGGTGGTGGTGCTGCTACTGTGGTGGTGGTGGGAGGTGAAGGATATGCCACTGCAGAAGTGGCTGCCAGTGGTGATGTGCCTGTGTGTGGTGATGATTGTATAGCAAGTGGTGCCAGTGGTTGTAATGGGGTGAAGAGCGGTGCTGCTAGGGTGAGGGATGGGGATTATAACGATGGGAGGCGTGCTGCCAAGGCTGGTGGTGTGACTGAAGGCAGAGGTGCTATAATGGAGGACCCACCAGATCCTACTGGACACTCCCAAGAGGCAAAGAGACTAAGGATGGAAGAGGAGGAGGAGAGGGAAAACAGAAAACTGCAAGGGGTGGAGGAGGAGGGGGGAGAGAAGAAACAATCGGGGTTGCAGCAGCTGCAGCAGTGGTGGGCGTCGATACTAGCAGCATGCGCCACTGCTCTCAAGGAAACGGTAGGGAAGCAGCTAGCAGGAGGGGTGATGACCCATGCTGCCCGCTGGTTGGCTGCTGGAGTCACTGTGCTGCTGCTGCTGCTGGCTCTTCTAGTAGCTGCTGCTGGTGCTTGGAGGGGGAGGGGAGGGAAGGGTGGGAAGGGAGGGAACGGAGGGCTGAGGCGAGGAGAGCAGCAGGTGGTGAGCATTGAGTTGAGGCAAGAGTCGTTCGTAGGTGCAAGGAGAGTGGCGTGGCAAGGTGAAGTAGGAGATGTGGCGAGGTCAAGTGCGGTGGAATGTAACGAAATAGGGGTGTTATGTGGTGCTGCGATGGATGGCCCAAGGGTTGTGCCGTGTGATATGTCAAGTGACTGTGCGGTGGTTGGTGGTGGTGCAGTGAAGCATGTGCAGCTGGTTGCTTGGAGGCAGGGGATGACCGGAGAGCAGCAGGAGCATGCTGAGCAGCGGTGGTGGAGGGAGAAGAGTGGGAAGAGAAGGAGAAGAGGAGGGGCGAGTTGGATGATCAGTAGTAGCAGCAGCAGCAGTAGTAGTCATAGTTTGGATAAGGAGCGATTGAGCCGACACAAGGCATGGGAGGGAGGCAAGGAGAGCTTTAGATTAATGAGTGGAGAGGCAGCACAAGTCAAGGAAGTCAATCAAGTCAACGGAGGGAGTCAAGCGGGGATCAGTGCAAGTGAATCCAGGAGAAAAGAGCGGGACGAGGCAAGGAGGGTAAAGGAAGAACAAAGGAAGCAGGAGAAGGAAAAGGAGAAGGAAAAGGAGAGGGAAAGAGAGAGGGAGAGGGAGAGGGAAAGGGAGGCACTAGAGTATGAGATATGGCTGCAGGGGGTGTGGGATGAGGCAGTGGCACGGGGCATATCGGAGGGGACGGTGAGGGAGGCATTGGAGGGGTTGCAGCCTCTGCCTGCTGTGGTGTCTAAAGTGACTGGTGCAGCTGAAGTGGTGCTCACTGCCCGGCAGTATGTGGACAGGTGAGTGTCAAGAAGATCATGCGGTGGTGAGTAATACATGCATGCACAGGGCATTGGAAGGGTTGCAGCCGCTGCCTGCTGTGGTGTCTAAGGTGACTGGCGCAGCTGAGGTGGTCTTGACGGCACGGCAGTATGTGGACAGGTGAGTGTAGAGATGAAGAGGTGAGTGATATATGCAAGCACGGGGCGTTGAAAGGGCTGCAGCTGCATTGATGCAGCCAAGACGAGGCTATGTAGCTGATCAGGTAGTAGTATGTGGTACCCACGGGGTCCTCATGTGTATGCTCGTGGCATCAGCATTCCATTCCATGCATATCCATCGTTTTCTATCCTTCAGTTGTTTTGATTTGGGTGATTTCTTGGCGTACACAGGATGGTGAGTGAAGCTCGGGTGCTGGAAGGCAGGCAGGTGATGGAAGCTCACAGGAAGCTTCTTGCGGAGATCGAGGAGATCTATGGTGTGCCGGCCAATGTGATGACGGCGCTGTGGGGCATAGAGAGCAGGTACTGTAACGAGGATGCGTGCTATAACGAGGATGCGCGTTATAACGAGGATGCGTGTTATAACGAGGATGCGTGTTATAATGAGGATGCATGTTATAACAAGGATGTGTGTTAACGAGGATACATATTATAACGAGGATGCGTGTTATAACGAAGATGCGTGTTATAACGAAGATGTGTGTTATAACGAATATGTGTTTTATGCTGAGGATGCGTGTGATCACATGTATGCATGTGCCAGCACGGGGTGCATGATCATGCCATGGGCCATGGCAGTGCATGGCAGTGGTGTGAGCGAGGGTTCATGTGCACAGATATCCGCTGCACGGACATGTAGTGCACTCAATGGTTGTGATTTTAGGAGTCCTTTAAAGCGACTCAGGTTCATTGCTGACCTGTGTTTTGTGCCTGCTGACGTGGCAGCTATGGGAAGAACATGGGCAAGTGGGACGCCATTCAAGCTCTGCTCACCCTTGCATATCGTACGAAGCAGGTGAGAGGTAGTGTAGTGCGGTGTAGTGTGGTGTGGTGTGGTGTGGTATGGTGCGATGTGGTGATGTCAGGTGTGGATTGGTGTGGTGCGGTTTAAGGCTGTTAAAGTGGTGCTCTCGTTTAGGTTCGACGCCATCTAAGCTCTGCTCGCCCTTGCATGATTTGTAGTAAGGTTGTCTGGTGCAGTGCCGTGTGGTGTGGTTTGGTGTGGTGTGGTGGGGTGTGGTGCTTCGGTGTGCTCCACTTAATATTCACCAAATTTCTCATTAAAGAGAACAAAACTTACCTGATTCGTCGCTTGACTGGAGGCCTCTTAACCGCACTGCACTCTACCGCCATCCAGTTCCTTTTCTCGTCCCTTCCCTTACAGCCCCGCCGTGCTGCTTTCTTTCGGGAGGAGCTGATGGAAGCCCTTTCGATCCTTGAGAAGCACCAAGGCCAAGGGCTCTCTGTTTCACTGCACTCCCACCATCCACTTCCTGTTTCCTCCTCGCTTCCCTTTTCTCATGCAGCCTCGCCGCGCTGCATTCTTCCGAGAAGAGCTCATGGAAGCCCTTTCGATTCTTGAGAACAACCAAGGGCCCTCCGTAGCAACCAAGGGGCTTCCTTCTGTTCCTGCTGTTCCTGCTGTTCCTGTTCCTGCTGCTGCTGATACCTCTGCAAGCGCAGTGGGAGAGAGGAGGGTGCGGCTGCTAGGGTCGTATGCAGGGGCCATGGGGCAGTGCCAGTTCATGCCTTCGTCTTTCAAAGCCTATGCGGTGGATTACGATGGAGATGGGCGAAGAGGTGAGGAGCAAATGACGGTGGTGCTTACTTATATCATGGTTACGGTGTAGTCGCAAGTGCAGAGGAACCTGCGGTTGCTGGAGTGGTATGCAGGGGCGATGGGGCAGTGCCAGTTCATGCCTTCGTCCTTCAAGGCGTATGCTGTTGACTATGATGGAGATGGGCGGAGAGGTGAGTGATTGACTGTAGGTAATGCCACTGACAACCTTACACGTACAACAACTAATTAATGTGGAGATGGGAGGATAGATGAGGAGCAAAAGAACATGGCTGCTAGGGTCGTATGCAGGGGCAATGGGGCAGTGCCAGTTCATGCCTTCGTCCTTCAAGGCTTATGCTGTGGACTATGATGGGGATGGGAGGAGAGGTGAGGTGCGGGTTTGAGTTAAGAGCTCTCATATTCCTTCGTCCGTCCTTCCAGGCCTATGCCATGGATTATTATGGCGATGGGAGGAGAGGTGAGTAGCTTCAGACGTGGCTGCTGGGGTAGTATGCACGGTCCTGACTGTAAAGCTTACTCTCACCCTAAACTTAACACCCTACACAGTGAAATCTTAAGCCCAAGCTGTGTATTCCGTTGAAAATGGGAAGAAAGGTGAGGCTTGACTGTAAAGCTTACTTTTGCCTTGAATCCCTATTTTTTCATTTCGATCTCGCCTTTGATCTCGCTTTCCTGTCTTGTACCTACCCATCCAGACATCTGGACTTCTGTTCCCGACGTGCTAGCATCAATGGCGAACTACCTCAAATGCAACCAATGGAGACGAGGGGAACCTGTGGGGGTTGAGGTGAGCTCTGAGGCTTGTTACCGAGTTATAAATCAAGATCTTTGTTACTGCACTGCTTCAAAAGCCAGTGGGGTTTGTGTTTCTGTAATATCCAGTACACAATTGCGTCAATGGCGAGCAATCTTAAGTGCAATCGATGAAGACGAGGGGACGGAGTGGGTGTTCCGTTGAGGTGGGGGTCAGGGAGGTTTGCTGTGTCACATTCAGTTGAGGTGGGGGTCAGGGAGGTTTGCTGTGTCACATTCAGTTGAGGTGGGGGTCAGGGAGGTTTGCTGTGTCACATTCAGTTGAGCTGGGGGTCAGGGAGGTTTGCTGTGTCACATTCAGTTGAGGTGGGGGTCAGGGAGGTTTGCTGTGTCACATTCAGTTGAGGTGGGGGTCAGGGAGGTTTGCTGTGTCACATTCAGTTGAGGTGGGGGTCAGGGAGGTTTGCTGTGTCACATTCAAGGTCTTTGTGTTGCTGGTTGACATGGCGCACGCACACTCGCATCAATGGCAAAGGATCTCAAACGCAATAGAGGAGATGAGCCAGTTGGGAGGAGGTGAGGAAGATAGGAGCTACTATGTTCAAACAGTTGAAGCAGCCTCTGTTCGTTCGGACCCTGCTTCCATCCTCATGTGCTTTTCCTTCCCCGAATCCTTACCATGTCTCTTCAACCCCCCATGAAACTCACCGTGGTGTGGTGGCAGGCAGCACCGTGGTACGGATATCAAACACCCTCTGTTCTTTCGGGTTCGTCGCTTGACCCCCACGCCCGGTTAGACAAGTAACGACTTCGAGGCGCCTCAAAGTTCATCGCTTGATTCCCATGCCCCTCTCCCTCTCCCACAGGTGGTCCTCCCTCCTGAATTCCCGCCCTCCCTCCTAAATCCCAGTGTGAAACTCACCGTGGCGGAGTGGCAGCAGAAGCACAGAGTCAGAATCGCTGATGGAGGTGGTGGTGTTAGCAATGGAAGTGGGGAGAGTGATGGGAAAGATGGGAGCGACACCGCATCTCTCCTGCCCGACATGATCGCCACTCTTGTACGCCTCCTGCTCTCCCTTTTAATTTCCAGCGTCGCAATTTTCAGCTGACATCTCCTTCACATCTACCTTTCCCCCCTTCACTTCTCCTGTTCCTCTCCTGCATCACCACCACCTCTTTCCCCTCCTCCCGCCTGCACAACCCACTCCTCACAGCCATCGCACCACACATATGCCATGCGTTCCTGCTTGCTCCTTCTCTAACCCATTGCACCTGCTATGTTTCACCAGCTCCCCTCCTCCCACCCGTCTCCTTCTCTAACCCAAGGCAGCTTCCTCCCTCCTCTTGCCCTTAGCTCCTCCCAGTGGCTTCCTTTCCTACCACTGGTCTATCCCATTGTGCCCACCGTGTTAAGATCAATTAAGCAAAAAACTGTATGATAAAACTTACTTCCTCTCTTGAACCATGGTTGCCCCCCCACCTGGCTTCCACCTCCCCGAAGCAGCACCAGGCTCTGAGGCGCCTAAGGACGCGTCCCCTCCCTCGATCGATCCTGCGCAGGATCGGTTTTTTTGTTTGGTTTAGAAAGGCGCAAAACGCAGGTTTTTAGTGCGGTGAATGATCGATATTCCTCGATTTTGCACGATCGATTGAGGGAGGGGACGCGTCCTAAACAAAGAGTGGAAGTCGCTTTACTGCGGCTTCCTCCCTACCTCACCTGGCCCGTGTTGCTCCTACGCCCACATGTCTTCCACCTCCCCGGGGTAGCACCTGATTCAGAGGCGGCTTGAAGGTGTATGTAGACATACGGTAAAATGTGAAACCTCCATCCAATGGCCTGCGGTTGCTCCTACTCCCACCTGCCTTCCACCTCCCTCTCCTCCCCCAGGTGGCACCTGACGGTCCAGCTGGCGTCGCTTACCTGGCATGCCACAACTTCCACGTCATCCTGCGCTACAACCCTGCCCAGCTCTATGGCTTGGCCATTGCTGAGCTGGCACGCAGACTGGTATAAACGAGGCGACTTTTTAGTATGTGGTTCTTGTAGAATGTGCATGTGTGGCTCACAGGGGGGCTGGAGACTTTTACGGTAGTATGTCTGTTCTAAAAGCGGAGAGGAAACAGAAACCGCCCATCTTTTGTGTCCCTGGCAGTCGAATATGTCTACTTTTCTTCCAATCTCCAGGTGCAAAATACAATCACTGGAAGGACAAGTTACACACAACAAACACAGGCCGCTAGGGATTGACCCACAGTAGTAATTCTCCTTTTGCACTTGTACAAGAGAGAAGGAAACAGAAGCTGTAATAATAATAAACGGTACAGTACAATACAAGAGCAAAATGTGGCACTATAACGCAGAGTGTGGACAATAAGGCCCCCCTAAGGCCCCCCTACCCCCCAATCCTCCTCACACCCCCTCCCAGCCCCCCAGCCCGCCCCCCCTATCCCTGGCATGGCATGGTCCCCCCCCTATCCCTGGCATGGCATGGTCCCCCCCCTATCCCTGGCATGGCATGGTCCGCCCCCTATCCCTGGCATGGCATGGTCCCCCCCCTATCCCTGGCATGGCATGGTCCCCCCCCTATCCCTGGCATGGCATGCCCCCCCCCCCCCTATCCCTGGCATGGCATGCCCCCCCCCCCTATCCCTGGCATGGCATGGTCCCCCCCTTCCATGGCATGGCCCCAGCAACATGCGAGATGTGTTCCTACGTTTCAAGGGCTGAAACGGGAACCGGGCGGCTGGAACAGGAACCGGGCGGCTGGAACAGTAACCAGGCAGCGGAAACCGTAACCGGGCGGCTGGAACAGTAACCGGGCGGTTGGGACAGTAACTGGGCGGCTGGAACAGTAACCGGGCGGCTGGGACAGTAACCGGGCGGCTGGGACAGTAACCGGGCGGCAGCAACAGTAACCGGGCAGCAGGAACAGTAACTGGGCTGCTGGAAGAGTAATTGGACAGCAGGAACAGTAACTGGGCAGCTCGAACAGTAACTGGGCAGCAGGAACAGTAACTGGGCAGCAGGAACTGTAACTGGCCAGCTGGAACAGTAACCGGGCGGCTGGAACAGTAACCGGGCGGCTGGCTGCTGGAACAGGGACCCGGCTGAAACCCCATGGGCCCGAGCTCCCCAGGCCTGGCCAAACCAGACCAGGCCAGGGCATGGCTATATAGTTTGCATGCATACACAAGCACACATATCAAGTCCTACAATCCTAGCTAAACAAATCCTACCTATAGAGGGGAGCGGTGGGGGACGGAAGGTGAATAGTGGTGATAAGTGGGGGATGGTGAGTGTGGGGAGCAGAGGTGGCGAGAGTGGAAGCAATCTCCCTCGCCTCCCTCTCACCACGCAACGCAAGCAACGTACCTTGTGCACTGCCCATGCCTCATCCACACCAGAGCCGAACCTCGTCCGGACGTCGAGGCCAAGTCAGGCAGACCTCAGCCGCCTCTGGGCTGGGAGGGTGGAGGGTGAGAGAGGAGGTGATTGGGGGGGAAGAGCAGGCGAGGGGGGAATAAGGATGTCAGGGGGGGAGGGAATAACGAGAGCACAAAACAAGCGCGTTTAGGAGGTGAGTACGGGGGACAGGGGAGGTGAGAAGAGGGGTGGACAGGAGGTGAGAAGAGAGGAGGAGAGGAGATGAGTACGGGGGACGGACGAAGCGAGGAGAGGGGAGTACAGGAGGTGACACCTCGTCATGCTCTCACCTCGTGCCTCTCTCCTCGCCGCGCCGTTGCCCACCTGCCCCGCCACATGGCCTTCCGTGATTGGCTGAGAGGCGGGCGGCGGCGCCACGGTGGTACGTTCTTCGTACAACTGGAGGGGGGTGGGGGATGGGGGGGATGGGGAAGAGGGGCACGGAGCTTGGGGGGCGCAACTGGAGGGGGGTTCCACCAGCGCGCGACGCGCCGTTCTCCGCAGGGTTAAGGTTGACCGCGGGAAACGGCGGGAAACCGCGGGAAGGGAAACCATGGGAAAGAGCGGGAAACGGCGGGAAAGGGCCGAAAATGGCGGGAATCAGCGCGGAAAGAAGCAACTCGCCCCGCCTGCAGCGCGCAACGCGCACATCGCCCCGCCTGCAGCGCGGAACGCGCACATCGCCCCGCCTGCAGCGCGGGAACGAGCACATCGCGCCGCCTGCAGCGCGGGAACGAGCACATCGCGCCGCCTGCAGCGCGGGAACGAGCACATCGCTCCGCCTGCAGCGCGGAACGCCCACATCGCCCCGCCTGCAGCGCGCAACGCGCACATCGCCCCGCCTGCAGCGCGGAACGCCCACATCGCCCCGCCTGCAGCGCGCAACGCGCACATCGCCCCGCCTGCAGCGCGCAACGCGCACATCGCCCCGCCTGCAGCGCGCAACGCGCACATCGCCCCGCCTGCAGCGCGGAACGCGCACATCGCCCCGCCTGCAGCGCGGAACGCGCACATCGCCCCGCCTGCAGCGCGGAACGCGCACATCGCCCCGCCTGCACCGCGGAACGAGCAGGAAACGGAGGGGATCAATTTGACCGCGGAAGACGGCGGGAAATGGCGGGAAACGGCGGGAAACGGCGGGTAGGAAAACCATGGGAAACCATGGGCAAGAGCGGGAAACGGCGGGAAAAGGCTGGAAAAGAAGGGAATCAGCGTGGAAAGGGCACTAAGCCGTGCCTGGGGCGCGGAAAAGGGCAACTCGCCACGCCTGCAGCGAGGAAATGCACTTCGCCGTGCCTGCAGCGCTGAAAAAAGCAACTCGCCGCGCCTGCAGCGCGGAAAGAGGCACCTGGCCGCGCCTCTCAGCTGGCTGTGGCGAGCCTCTCACCAGGCAGTGCCGAGCCTTTTATGGCGCGTGATCCGCCGCCTGCCACGTGGCGCGCGATCCGCCGCCTGGTGATGCTCGCGTGCTGGTGGGAGATGTAGGTGAGTGCTTTTCCATTTTCAGATCAGCACCATGGACGCCGCGTCGCTGTCAAAGAGAAAACAAAGAAAGAAGGACATCATTACGAAAATAACAGAATCATTTGACGCAATGCTGAATACAAAAGGAGCCTGCGGTACTAACCACACCGGCCAGCAGGGAGAGCGTGAGTTGTCGAGAGAAAGAAATCCCGTTCTGCACAGGACGGGAGCGGCGCTTACGCTGACAAACCCCTCCTGCTCCCACGGTGCTGTCACATCGCGATCGCGAGAATTGATTATTCTCGGTCGGTCGCCGTGTTTGCGCTGCTGCTGCACGCAGCATGCCACTCGTCACCGCCTCTTCTCGTTGCGGGCCACTATGAGTTAAGAGTTAAGCACGGGCCGCTACGAGTTAAGAAGGAGGCGCCTTGAGAGAAAATGTTGACTTTCTAAGGCGACTGAAAAGTATGGCGCTCGCTAACAAAAGTATGGCGCTAACTAACGACGAACAGCTTCAATGCCGAAATATTGAGACCCAAGACTGACAATTAGAAATCGAGGTACTTGGGACTTGGGAGGGAGGTGGTTGAGTGGAGGGAAACAGCCGTAAGAGGAGCGAGGTGGAGGAGGGTGGGTGGGGTTGGAGCAGACGAGGGGTAAGGTGACCCGCCATCCACTCCAACGACCAAAACATCGGGGGCAGACACTGGAAAGAAACAAAAGCAACACAGAAATTGAAACTTTACGCTGGTTTACTACAAAAACGGGAAATAATATACCTCTTTGTCGTCCTACCCAAAAAGAATGAAGATTTGCGGGCTGAACGAAACAAATATGAAACTGTTGGGAACCGAAGCCTTCAGTAGAACCACAAACACGATGAACCTGGGCGATGCCTGAATGCTACAGGTAATGGGCTCATCCACGTGTTTACAAGCACATTTACAGTACAGTTGGACCCACCACGCCCACAAAACGTTTTGTAACAAGTAGGGCAGGAAGAAACAAAACGGAAGCACAAACCTTGCGACTTTCCGAAATGGAAACTCGAGCCCACCACGCCCACACTTAATCGAATATGTGGGTGGGAACAGTGAAGTGCAACCATTCTGAAAAAAAAAAACAATTTACAAACAACTTCGAAGCGCAACTGAAAACCTGCCCGGCTCTAGCATTGGAGTCGGGTGGGTTTAGTCAAGAAGCGCCGAAGCGGACCAATCA